GGTTTCCTTGGAACATTTCAAGAGTCTGTTACCGAGTACCTCATGGCGGGAAAATTTTGTTTGGGCTTCGCTTGAATCATTGATAGAAGGTACGAATCTTCCATTGGATTAGAACCCTCTTCTTGGTGTCTTCTCTGTGTTCTTTTACTCGCGTTGCGCTTGTGGGTTTCCTTCGATCATTTCAAGAATCTGTTCCTGTGTGATCTCTTGGCGCGAAAATTTTGTTCAGGTTTTCCGTGATTCAGCGAGAGAAGGTACGAATCCTCTACTCGATTAAAACCCTTTTCTTGTAGCTTTCGTTTGAGATCTTTTGATCGTGTCGTGCTTGTGGTTCTTCTTCGATCGTTTCAAGAATCTGTTTCCGTGTGATCTCATGGCGCGTAAATTCGTTTAGGTTTCTGTGATTCATCGAGGGGAAGTGCGAATCCTCTGTTAGATTAAAACCCTCTTCTCGCTTGGGGTTTCTCTTCGATCATTCCAAGAATGTGTTTCTGCGTGATCTCATGGCGCGAAACTTCGTTGAGGTTTTCCGTGATTCATCGAGGGGAAGTACGAATCCTCGGTTAGATTAAAACCCTCTTCTCTTTGTGATCTTTTAATCGTTTCGTGCTTGTGGTTTTTGTTCGATCATTTCTTTCTTGCGATTTCAATGGTCAATCCAAGAACGTTCCGATCTTTCTCGTGCGTAGCCTTCATCCCGATTGATCTAATTATTTTCGGAAGCGGAAGGATCATGATTTCCTTTTCTCACTGGGCCTCCGGTTCGCTTAGTTGCGTTTAAGTCGGACTCATTATTAGGTCGGTTTGGCCAGTACTTAAAGGCCTCGCGGTGAGCATACAGTCTGGTGACGGGACCACGACTCATCTCAAACGCTTGGTGGAAATGTGTTCTCATGAGCTCTTTGCCGTGGCCGTGCAAAATCGATGGACACAATTCTTAAGAGGTCGAGCTTCCGAGAGAGGACGGAAACAGGGAGGTAATGGCTGCCGTTTCTTTGGGTTCCTTGTCTCTTCCTCCTCTCAAGTACCAGAAGGTAGCAGTGTGTTGTTCATATGTTAATGGTAGCCTTAGACCGATCACAGTCAGTGGAAATCCTCCGACTTTTGTCTCTGCATCAGGTCGTCGGATAGTTGCTGGTAACTAGCATCTATTTATCTCGTCTTCTGCATCACGCTTCAAAACTGTTTTTTTCAACTAGTCAAGTTTGTTTGTGTTCACTTAATGGTGTTGTACTCAGATAGAAGGGGGTTCTGTTTCCAATGATTTGGATGCGATCTTGTAGGGTTCTATCTATTTATTTAAGGATGTCTCTTGTGCCTTTTTACGGATTATTCAGATTTCGTGTCATCTGTAGGCTCATTTTGAGAGTTTTCTTTGTTAAAATCAGTTGAATAATTTTCCCCCTAGCGCAAAGAATTTGTGCAGTTATGATGTAGCATGTTTCCTTTGTTGTGGAATTGCTTCTAAATTTTATCAAATATTGAACAAAAAGATTGCACGTTATACTTTCAAATGAAAGTTGACAACGTACATATTGAAGTCCATTGTCTCTGTATATAATACTTATTTGTTGCTCAATGACTCTTTCTTGGGCATTCTAGCCAATTCTATAAGCCATGGATGCATATTAGTAATTCTACATGTTTATGCGTGTATGGTCCTAAAAGTTTCTTCTTCTGTCATTTGTATTCTATGGTATATATGTTTTAAAGCTTTTCAAGTTAATAATAGTGTCTTTTCATTTGCATATGATAATTGGAGGTTTTTTCCCTGTTTATCTGTCTACAGGTTCTTGATCTTGTATTGCGTTAATTAGTTTCTCATGTTTATATATCTTGCATATTTCCTGTACACAGTATCTCAAATACTGATGTATGCATTTCAGTGGGTGATTTGCATGGGGATCTTTCTAAAACAAGACTTGCTCTTGAAATGGCTGGAGTCTTGAGCTCAGATGGCCAAGATCTATGGATCGGTGGAGAGACGGTACGCCACTAGTTTATCATTGTTCCCCATCATAGTGTTGTTTTGCGCATTGAGGATGGGAAGAATATCACATATATGCTACTCTATTTAAAGAAAAAATTTGAACCCCATCTGCATACTTTTATCCATTTTCTAATAACTGTCACATAAATTGTTATATCTAAATCAATGGTGATATTTTGTTTTGGCTTTGTGTGCTATCCCCTTCGAATCGCATTATTTTTTAACCCCTGAAATTTTCACACTGACATTCACTTCCTTTAGATATGACAATATTCTTATTCCATTGCAGATGATTATTATTTTTGCTTACAACCTTATCCTTTATGCTAAATTTTGAGCGTAAACCACATAATCTGGATTGTCTTCCTTTGTGCTTAAAGTTGGGATGATAGTCAAGTCATATCTTAAAAAGGGTCAGTGGACAAATAAACTATATACAGGCAGATGATGGAAACCTTATTTTAGGGGTTGGGAGCCAAAATCCCATATAATTCATCAATTTTTTTTATATCTAACGGTGAATTATTGGTTTTAGAGTTTGTTCCACGTTAGAGATTTTGTTTTTGGTTTGTACAAGTTCAAGATAAAACATTGCATTGTTTCTTTCTTTTTTTTTATGTGTAGGTATTAGTTCAACTTGGAGACATCCTTGATCGAGGTGAAGATGAAATTGCTATCTTATCATTATTGAGATCACTTGATATTCAAGCTAAGTCCACTGGCGGTGCTGTCTTTCAGGTATTGATGATTAAGTATTATGAGCGTATTCTTTCCATCTTGTTATGTAGGATCCTAAACTCATAGCAATAGAAAATTGCATAGTTACTTATATGAGGATCTCTTTCTATTCACACCTGCTCTTATCGACTTGCTTAAATAATGTTCATATTGTTGCTGCACCTGCATTTTCTTTGATCAGGATTACTGGTTCCAGAAGCATAGAAGCACATGGCATACATAATCGCACTAACTAGTTTTAGGTTTGGAAAGAAACATGATGTTTACATGTATCTTCTGGTATGTAGACACTCTTGCCATATTATATGCTAATTAAAACATATAAAGAAAACAGATTAGTATGTATAAATACATTGTTATTTGGTAAATGCTAATAGAAGATGAACTTTTACAACTAGACACAGGATAGTAAAACTGTTTGTTTTTGTTATTGGCAAGACATCTTTGTGAGATTTGGCCTCTCAACCGGATGGACAGATCCCTCTGGCATTTACCAATTCAGCCCAAAATTGGTACATGGAACGCTCCCTACCACTCGGTTTTAAAAGTGAAAAGCTTACTGTTCCGTATCCATATCATTTTATATTTATTTTATAGTGACAACTATCATTTGGTTTTAATCTTCCATGCTTCTCTCTCTCTCTTGCTATTCTCTTGATCTCTTTCGCCACACTGCCTACTATCTCACTGTCACCGCCCACTGCCTTGTCACCATCGCATCTTCCTTTGTTTCTAGTAATCCTCATCAGCCTTCTCCTTCTCCCCCTCTTTCTCCCGTGCCTTCTCCTCTACCTTCGTCTCCTCCTCCTCCCATCTTCTCTCTCTCTCTCTTTCTGTTTGGACCCTGCCCTGAAATGTTACCGGGCCTGTACTGGTCCAATTGGGGAGTAGTATGGATCTGGTATTGGTATTTGATACCATGATTAAAAACATCATCACAAAGATCATAAAGAAATTATTATTTAATCCATATGAAGAAAAGAAAGTTCACAAAGCCTACTTTGGGAACAACAATAACTTAGTGTTGCATGGATGTATATTTTAGAAATGGATTCAGATGCCTATCCAACTACCCCATGTTGCAAGAAGGCAAAGGATTTGTGATGACAGGTGAAAAATAATTTGTGAAATTGATGTTTCTCTTTTGTGAATATTCAAAATTCTGAAGATTGGTTTTTATTATTATATGATCTCAGATGCTAAATAATTAATCCTTATCACGTTCTTTCACAAACATTTGAAGCATATATCAAACAGTAAAATATGTATTTCAATAAAATTGGGAGGGAAAAGTGAATGTGTTTGTTGACATAGATCTTTTGTGTTATCACAAATCTAATCCAAGTATGATGTGCAGGCATCAGATATGTGCATCATCACATTAGTTTATGTTAGGGGTGGAATTGTCAAAATTGCATATTTTAGTCTGGTAGGTAAAAGCCTTGGCTGGGGATCAACCTTTTTCGACCCAATCATATAGTATAACAAAAACAAAACCTTACTACAACCAATTAATAGAAAAGAGAAATCTTTAATAACAGTTATCATTAAGGTGAAAAAGTGTCCTAGTGGAAAGGATATTAGATTTTGTGGTTTGCTCACTTGATTATTCGATTGTTGTTTCTTGTTCTGGACATGATCTAGGTTGTCATGCTTCAGTTCATCAAATTTAAAACCTTCAACCAGAATATTCTGCCTTTTATGTCAATGATGAAGGCCGAAATACCATTTTCTATGAAACAATAATAGCTGGTAACCGAAAATTCTTTGATGAGACAAATTCTCCTTTGTTTTTTTTATAATTTGGATTGTAAACAGCATTATCCACATTTTTTCTTCAGGTTTTATGGAACACTTATTCTAAAATTTATGATGAATGGCTGGCTCAGACTATGATACCTCCTAGTAATAAGAAAACTAATGATTATTATTCTGGAACAAAGTTAAGTCAGTTGAGGATCCCTAAATACAGTACCAATCATCTAGGACTCTGGAGGAGAGTCCGAGGACAATGTCTACAGGATGAGTTTGTGGAATTGTTAGCAATATTTCTTGTAGTACTCAAGGATAATTATTTCAGCTGTTAAATTATCGTAAGCCAATTACTTAATGAACTCTGTGGAATGTTATTTACAGTTGAGGTTCCATGGATCAGTGTTCCAAAATGTGGTCTGTGCAGCTACATATGCAATTGTTGACCACCTCACATAAGGTGTGGCCCTGAATTGTGGCCACATATGTGGATTGCATTCCTACTATTGTTTTTACTCTTACTATTATATTAATTCTAGTTCATGAAAATGTCCCTTTTTCACCTAGGCCTTTACTCATTTTCTATTGAGTCCATACAGTGTGTTGATTTGACCTTAATATATTTACCTATTAACAATTTAGACTGAGTGTTTTCTATTTCTTTATTATAATTGACCCAAATATGCAGCTACATGTACCTGTTTGCTGCATATGTGCGATTCATTACCTTGACCTTTGGCATACCGAGGACACAACTTAGAAATTTTCAGTGGATATATAATTTTTATAATATTTAGCATCTTCTTACCTTTTCTTTTTCTCTTTTTCTTTTTTTG